TCATAAGCAATAAGAATCGTAGTCTTCTTGGTTTTAAGGCTGATGCTTGTGCCTTGGAGCAGCTTCTCTATCTCATCCCACATTTCCTTAGCTGTTTGCATGCTATCGATGAGAACGTATACTTCATTGGGGATTGCTTGAAGAAGGTATGTTTTGGCCATGAGATCACCACGAAGCCTGAGCCTGTCAGCTTCCGTGTATTCAGATGCCACTTTCCTCCTTATTTCTGGAAGAATAGGAGGGTTATTTTCTGGATCACCACCAACTGAAATCAAGAGTTCAGCTGATCCTTCAAGCAAGGATTCAAGCATTGCAGCGGAGTTCTCTTTGTGCTCAAGGAAATTAAGGAATCTGTTCCTCCACATTTGGTATTCTCCCTTCCTGAGACTAGGAGGGGTACTGCTGTTCCCTTGCGCATTGAATTCTGAGGCCATTGCTGTATTAAACTGACCGTTCGAGAAAATTGATCAAAAGATTTTCAGAGGCAGAAAGTCGAAAAATCAGATGTTGAGATCTGAATATCGAAATCTCAGATTTCGATAAAGGAGGCCCGGTATCGAGATTTGAGCTCGAGATTAGAGATCTCGAGATTAAGGATCTCAAGATTTCAAATTTCGAGAAGAGGATCTCGAGATTTGAAATGTCGAGAAGTTAAAACTCGAAATCTTAATTCTGAGAAGTCAAATGTCGAGACCAGATGTCGAAACCTTAACTCGAAATCAAGATCTCGAAATCCTAGATGTCGAAATCCTCAATGTCGAAATCCTGCAAACTGTAAAAATCAGATAAGCAAAATCTGAAGGTAGTTTCCTGTAGAGTAGAATGTCAAGATCCTCAGGTAAAATTTTCAGCTCGAAAAACGTAGCAGAACCTGTGAAAAACTAAGATGTCGACAAGCCCTACTCGAGATATCTCGAGTACAGAATATGCGTAAAACAAAATTTGAAGTATACCCCTTGATCGCTTTGAAAAGACGATTCTAAGGGTGTAACTTTTACAACTTTTGAACAAGAAACAAAATTACAGAGTGAAATATCGACAGTAAGAACAACGTAAAGAAAAACAGAGTCTTCTGCAGGCGTTCTTCTGATCGGCTCTCGATCGGCTTTGATACCAATTGATAGTCCCTGTTTCTGTAACAGCAATGAATAACGATCTAACAACGAAGATTAAACTTAAGGATGAACACAAATTGAATCAATGTAAAACCCTCTTTGATAGACCGTGAACTCGTACAACACAAAAATATGCGCGTAAGGCTATGAAGAATAAGTACAACGTTAACCTAATCCTAAACCCTCGGCTCCCTTTTTATAGGCGAGGTTTAGGTTAGGCGTACAAGGCTTTTAGCCTGCTTATATGGGCCTAACACTTGTCCCAAGTTCTATCTAATTCATGCACTAATTAAATACAAGGATTAATAATAAAGCTAATCTATGACAAACTTGATTCACAATATGCGGGGCGAAGCAGTCTTGTCAAGCAATTACCTTTTAAATAAGGTTCCCCGGAAAAAATATGATAAAACTCCGTACGAGTTTTGGAAAGGTAGACGGTCTTCCTATCAATATTTAAAAGTGTGGGGGTGTCTGGCAAAAGTGCTTGTACCAACACCTAAGAAAATAAAAATAGGTCCAAAAACGGTGGATTGTATTTTTATTGGGTATGCACAAAATAGTAGTGCTTATCGGTTTTTAGTGTACGATTCAAATAATCCGGATGTACATAAAAACACAATAATTGAATCAAGGAATGCATCATTCTTTGAAGACGTATTTCCATGCAAGTCCAACGAAGGACCAAGCACGTCAAAACGAACATTTGACGTAGCTATGGAAAATACTAGCGAGGGATCTAGAGAAGAACCCGAACCCAGACGTAGCAAACGTGCTAGAATTGAAAAATCCTTCGGACCGGATTTTCTCACATACTTGGTAGAATTTGACTCGGAGATTCTAACATGTATGGTAGAAAATGAACCAGATTTTCTAACATGTTTGGTAGAAAATGAACCACGAACTTATACGGAAGCTGTGATGTCTACCGAAGGTCCTATGTGGAAAGAAGTCATCAAAAGCGAGGTGGACTCTATCCTTAAAAATCACACATGGGAATTGGTTGATCTTCCTCCGGGAAATAAACCTTTGGGATCCAAGTGGATTTTTAAACGAAAAATGAAACTTGATGGTTCCATTGATAAGTATAAGGCCAGACTTGTAATCAAAGGATACAAGCAACGTGAGGGCCATGATTACTTTGACACGTATTCTCCTGTGACGAGAATAAATTCCATTAGGATGATTGGAAGTTCATCAAATGGACGTAAAAACCGCTTTTCTAAATGGCGATATAGATGAAGAAATCTATATGGAACAGCATGAGGGCTTTCGTGTTCCAGGCCAAGAAAGGAAAGTATGTAAATTAATTAAATCATTGTATGGATTGAAACAAGGCCCTAAACAGTGGCACGAAAAGTTCGATCATGCAATGTTAATTAATGGGTTTAAAATAAACGAAAGTGACAAATGCGTCTATGTGAAGAGCACGGTAGATGGTTATGTCATTTTATGTTTATACGTGGATGATATACTCATCGTGGGTAGCAATAATCTAATGATTAATTCTACCAAAAGCATGTTTAATTCTAAATTTGACATGAAGGATATGGGGCTGGCCGATTTAATCCTTGGGATTAAAATAATTAGAGGACCTGACGGTCTTACGCTAAGCCAATCCCATTACGTTGATAAAATCCTTACGAAATTTAATAAGGATGATTATCAAGAGGCAAGGACTCCATTAGATAAAAACGTACAACTTACAAAAAATCGTGGAGAGTGTATTTCTCAAGTAGAATATGCTAGGATTATTGGAAGCTTGATGTATCTCATGAGTTGTACCAGGCCTGATATTGCCTTTGTGGTTAGTAAGCTAAGTAGATATACTAGCAACCCCGGTGATGAACACTGGAAGGCAATAGTAAGAGTTTTGAGGTATTTACGTAAAACCCAAAACCTTGGACTGCACTATGGAAGATATCCAGCTGTACTTGAAGGGTATAGCGACGCTAGTTGGATATCCGACATAAAGGACTCCAAGTCCACAAGTGGATATATTTTCACTTTGGGAGGTGCAGCCGTGTCATGGAAATCCTCAAAACAAATGTTAATAGCTAGATCCACGATGGAGTTTGAGCTAATGGCCTTGGATAAGTGCACTGAAGAGGCTGAATGGCTACGCCATTTTCTCGAGGATATTCCAAGTTGGGAAAAGTTTGTCCCTCCAATATGCTTACATTGCGATTGTCAAGCGGCAATTGGAAGGGTACAGAGCAATATGTACAATGGTAAGTCTAGACACATTCGTCGTAGACATAACACCATTAAACAACTCCTCACAACGGGTGTTATCACTGTTGACTACGTGAAGTCAAAGGATAACATAGCGGATCCGCTAACCAAGGCATTGGATAGAGAATTGTTGGAGAAGTTGTCACGAGGAATGGGACTAAAGCCCGTGAATTGAAAAGTTCTATAGTGGATACCCAACCTAGTTGGTCCTAGGTTCAAAAGGGAAAACTAAACTATAGAGCGAAGGATGGTCACTGTTGGGGTCCCGGACTCCTACTCACTCCTCGTTAAAACAGTGACTCCCGCATGAGGTTAGCAAAAACGTTGCTTTAATGATTCTAAAATGTTGATCTACTCGATAACATTGGAAGAGTATGCGGGATACTTGTGAAAGAATCACCTATGTGAGAGAGAAGAGGGCCGCTTCAAAGGAGAATTGTAAAGGCTCAGTTCTTTAGAAACTCTTGCAGAACCAGGACGGTGACCCATGGCCAAAATGGGCACACCCATGAGAATGGAACAAAGTTGGAAGGTTCTTGTGTAAAGATAAGTCAATGTTTACACGACGGCAGTATAGTTCAAGGACATCGAGTCTTCTAGACAGCCAGTAAATAAACGTGTCTTTACAACGGAAGGTTCAAAGGATAAAATGTGACACCGCACCCGAACATCCTAGAAATTCAAATTTAATTTCAAAGCTTATGTATTGAATTCTCCTATTTTCGAACAATTGTAAAATGATTAAAGTTTTACGGAACGTATGATTTATCATATTACTATTTGGACTCATACAATGGTAACGGGCTTCTAAATAATTAATTGGGCCATATCATTGATATTGGGGCCCAACATCCTTAAATAAAGATATACAACCCATCAGTACAATGTAAGAGCGGTCGGGCAGCCCAAATGTTATTTTGGGTCTAACCTGCTAAAAATAGTAATTATTCTAGAATGGCATCCTAGACCCATTGGAGGGTGACCCACACGGTTGGTAGCCCATATATATATATATATATATATATATATATATATATATATATATATATATATATATATATATATATATATATATATATATATATATATATATATATATTAACATCATAAACGAATGATGGAATGATTGGAGAAGAATACAAATGCCTATGGTCCCATCTTTGGCATTATTAGGCTAAATAATGGGAGTAGGGTTTTCTTTTGTAATTGTACATCAAATAAATTATTGGGACCATCCTACACATATTAGAGACCAATAATATGAAGTAGGAGGTTGACTTGATCTGAATAAATTGGGGAGAGTACAAAAGTACATCTTATGACAAAGGACAAAAATGATAGGACCCATCTTTCCACTCTTGGATGTATTGGTAGATATTTTGCTCCCAAATTAATTAGGGGACATGAGAGTACGCCCCACACCTTCCTAGCACCTGCAAAACAGGTAGGATAAGTTAGAACACATAAATGGGGCGGACCTATTGAGTTGAGAGCTCAAACAATACAAAAGAGATAAAAGAGGAGGACCATCCCATGTTTGATTGGAATCAAACACCCAACCTTTTATTTTTGGGAGCAACACGTTTAGATAACGTTTTGAGAGCCTATAGATATCTTCCCCTCACCCCTCATTCGAACTCAAGAGACAAGGGGAAGAGAAGAGCCGCACAAGAGAAAGAAAGCAAGAGAGGGAGAAGATTCTGGCCGTAGGGAGAACTTCCAGTGCACTGGCCTTCTTGTGCGACTCATATCTCGAGTTCTGTCCATACAAAAGAGGCGTGTGAGGTTCCCACTGAAACCTCTCGAAAAGAGGAATCCATAGGCGTGCGTTTTGAAGAAAACGGAGCAGCTTAAGTCTTCCAAATCGTCCGAACGAAACGAAACCTCGCAGAATACGATTTTGTATTCAAAGTAAGTTTGAATCCATAACCTTCCTTTCTATTATCTAAATCGTATAAATGATTGAGGAGATATTGTACACTGGTTGAGTTGTACAAAGTGTTGTTATAAAGTTATTTTATTTTTTGGAAAGGTTAGATACTAACCTAGAACAAACCTTGAAAGGTTAGGAAACGTTTTCGCCGGAAAACACCCATTCTAGGGGCTGTTTTTGAATCATTGGATAAGTGTTGAACTAGCACCTTGAGGAGGCTGTCTAAACATCAATTCTAAGCAAGGAATCAGTTCTCAAACTTCCTTGGCCGAAGCTTTGAGCATTGTATTAAAAAGGAAAGGTTTAAAGCTCATTTGAGGTGAGGATCGACATCTAGTTTCTTACAACTTGTAGGTTAAGCATGAGATTACCTAAATGCCTAAACAATGTTTTTCATGGATTATAATGACTGATTATTGATGAAATATTGATATTTTAGATAAGTAATGAAATTTCAAATGATTTGGAAATCATATTGATAAAAATGGAGTTAAATGAACTATTGTGTGAATTAGACATTTTTACTCATGTGTGAATTGTGTAGATACATAAATGATTATTTGTGTATTACATTGGGTGACTAAGTTGCTGCTACATATTTCTAAATATGTAGGGATTTACAAATGAAACATATGATTGATGGGAATAATCTTAATAGTATTGGAATACTAGTTAATGATTGTTTGTAATTGTTAAGAAATTGAATCTAAGGATTTGATTGTAAGTGATATACTTGATTGTGGTTCAAGTGAGTAAATTGTTGTAATGTGATGCTAAGATCATGATAAGGCAGTCCGTAAGGATGTCCCGAAATAGATTATTGATATTACAATTCTAGGCATAGCGAGTGCTTAGGAATTGGGGTCTATGCCAATGCAAGGAGATGTACTTGAGCCCGATGCTCTAGAATTGCATTGGGTAGACATAAGGATTAGGTTCAGCCCATGTAAGGAGATGTACTTAAGCCGAGCTCTAGAATTGCATGGGTGAACATGACGTCGGAGATTGGTGGAGTAATTGACTTGTGATTGATATGCATGGTGATGTAGTCGAGTTGGAATCGAGAAATGCAAACATGTGTGTTAGGGTTGAACCCTATGTATTGTCGTGACTAGGGGTCACGAGGTTTGGGTTATGTTTTTGCAAACAAACCTTGGGCCATGGGCCGACTACTTGACTTTATATATAAAGTAAGTATATTTTGAAAAGGGGTAACTTGGGGTTATGGCCTAGATTATACTATCACCCTATTTGAGGGTCTTGTGTTTGAAATATTTGTTGTATATCTATTAGATGTCATCCACACCAGTACTTTATAGTCGTATAGAGTACTGACCCCCTTTCGGGGGGCGTCCCACCACCATTTCAGGTTGAGGCTAGAGCTTACTACATGTGCTTGTTGATCGGGCGATCATCTCAGAGGGGAAGACTTGGTTCGTGCTTCCTCCATTCTGATTTTAAACATTTTAAAACATGCTCATGGATATTGTTTTTCATTATGGAGCCTGCGTGTTCGTGTTTGCCCCGTGTGGCACTTGTATCCAAACTATGATTTCCGCTGCGTATTCAATTACTTATTATGTATGTTTATGGATGACTTATGTGTGAATGATATTCGAGACGCCTTGTATGATATGGATGAGTTGGACTGCGGTTGACTATTCATATTGTACGACGGGTTGTTGACGTGTCCGGATAGGTCCGGGGCGTGACAATTTAATTGGTATCAGAGACTTAGTCCATAAACTTCATAATGAAGACTCAAAAATTCTCTTTTCCAAATGATTTCGAAAACTATGAGCATAAATGTTTTGTACTTATAGAACTTTTGGTACTTGAGTTGCAAGGCCTCTAATTGTTAAGATGGTACCCTTAGCAATTGGTATGGCGGTCAAGCCAAGTAGTGTCTTATGTACCTATCCGTCAATTGATATTTGATACGAGTCTAATGACTCTTTCCAAAATTTCTTTCAGAAATGGACGGTGGTGGCAAGGTTACGAGAAGGAACCCGACGGGCCGTGCACCGGTGGGGACCGGGCAGGGGAGCCGTGGGGCCTCTAGAGTGTCTAGAGGGGCGAGCCGTGGAGGCCGATCGCACTCTGTGAGCGACGGCAATGTTGACACCGAGGATGAAACCTACTGGTCCTATGAGGACTTGACTTACCAACCGGAGACCGAGCCGGTTGAGACCCCTTACGAAGGGGATGACGATGATATAAGTGATGAAGATGGGGAGAATGACTCCCTAGCAAGAATTGAGGCGCTGCTCCAGCAATACCAGCGGGAGCGTGAAGAGAGGAGAGAACGCCGAAGGCGCCGAGGAGGGCAAACTTCGGGTAGGGCTTCAAGAGGAAGAAGCCATGGTGACTCTAGGGCCCATATTGAACTACATGGGGGCCGGGGTGATGGAGGTCCAATCATAAGGATCTCAAAATTTCTCAAGGAGGCGAGGGACTTGGGGTGCAAACCCTTCAATGGAACGGGTGACATCTCGGTCGCCGCGGAATGGATCAAGAGGCTGAACGAAGCAGCCCTTGATATGCAGCTCACCCCCGAGTTTAAACTCAGGGTGGCGGTGAGATTGCTTGAAGGGATGGCGTCCACATGGTGGGACGGGGCCAAGGGCAAGTATGGCAGGACCGTGACTTGGGAGAATTTTCGACAGGAGTTCTTTGCCCAATACTATTGCGATTTTGAGGTGATCGCTAAGAGGAGAGAGTATACCCTCCTGACCCAGGGTGGCAAAATGACGGTGAGGCAACTTGAACACAAATTCAGGGAGCTCGCGGAGTTCATACCGGAGTATGTCTGTGATGAGAACCGAATGGTTAACCATTTCTGGGATGCCCTAGATTTGGAAATACGTGAAAGGGCAACACAATTGCCCAACATGACCTTCAGCCAAGTAGTTGAACAAGGGTTGAAGGGAGAGAAGGAATGGGAAGAAAGAAAGATGAAAAACGCTGAAGAGGCGAAGAAGAGAAAGTGGGAGACCCATGGACCTCAAGGTCCTAACAAAAAGGAGAATCATGGAGGAGGAGGATCCTTTCGAGCACCCCCACTGCCATCTAGGGGAAGCCAAGGCCCGGACGGGCAATCACAAGCCTCGGGGGCGACTCGTTGCAAAAATTGCAAGAGGAACCACCCGGGAAAATGTCGTGACCCTCCTAGATGCTACCAATGTGGGAGCACCGGGCACATGAAGATGAGCTGCACACAACTGGGCGGAAGGAAGGCATCAGGACCAAGTAGTGGTACTACCGGGACACAGAATCAAGTTGGGCCTCACAAGCGTCCAGGGGGCAAGGAGGAGCAAGCGCGAGCAACGCGCCGTCCGTGAATCAAGGAAGAACTCAAGCTAGAGTCTATGCGATGACGGAGGCGGATGCTCAGGCTAACACAGATTCCGTTGCAGGTATAACCACTTAATTACTCGTGTTTTATCCGTGTTTTATCCATAAAATGAGGTTACAAATCCTAGGGGTCAATTGCAAACAGCCTTAGGACCAAACCGTGCGATTCCAGGCAAAATCGGACTGATTTTATCTCAGGCACGCCGTGCCTAACCTTCAAGCACGTCGTGCCTGGGTGGCAGTAGCTACCCGGGAGTATTTTAAGCCACGCACGCCGTGCGTGCCTCCTAGGCACGCCGTGCGTGGCACCCAGACTGCCCGACGTTGATTTTTTCGCACCGAATTGCGACGTTAAGGCCTCTCCTTGATCCCAAACATGTGTATGAGCATAATAAACCACTATAAATGTATATAGATGGTAGGAAGGCATCTTACATGGCTTATAAATGTAGGAACACTAAAGATTAATGGGAAGGATGCGCGAATCCTTATCGATACCGGGGCGCAACGTTCATTCGTGAGTGAGGCGTTCGCCAAAGGCTTAGGGATACATTCGATACCAATGATACAAACTCTAGTGGTATCAACACCACTAGGGGATTACGTTGAGAGAACTTGTTATTATCCATCTTGTGAGGTGGAAGTCGGTGGCCAAACCTTGAGGTGTGATTTCGTACCGCTGAGCATGATTGATTTTGATGTGATCCTAGGGATGGATTGGCTAGAAAAGCATCATGCTAGGGTAGATTTCTACACAAAGGTTCTAGAACTCGAAGGCAATGATGGGAAGGCCCTACGCTTCGAGGGTGATCGAGGCAAGTCAAATAGTTGCATCATATCCGCCGTGAGAGCGAGGAGTATGATGAGAAAGGGATGCCACGCATATCTAGCATACGTGGTGGACAAAACTAAGGAGGAACCGAACCTCGACAATGTGAGGGTGGTTTGTAAGTACGAGGATGTCTTCCCTAAAGATCTACCGGGGCTTCCACCCGATAGAGAGATTGAATTTGTGATCGAGGTTGAGCCCGACACCAAACCAATCTCTATACCACCGTACCGAATGGCGCCTACGGAACTGAACGAGTTGAAAACCCAATTGCAAGAGCTATTGGATGGGAGTCTACGTATGTGCATTGACTACCGATAATTGAACAAGGTCACCATCAAGAATAGGTACCCTTTACCTAGGATCGATGACTTGTTTGACCAGCTCCGGGGGTAACGGTATTTTCAAAGATTGACTTGAGGTCAGGGTATCACCAATTGAAGATCAAAGAGAGCGACATACCGAAGAGTGCTTTCCGCACAAGGTATGGCCACTTTGAGTTCTTGGTTATGTCGTTTGGGTTAACTAACGCCCCAGCGGCATTCATGGACTTGATGAACCGAGTTTTTCATAAGTACTTGGATCAGTTTGTAATCATGTTCATAGATGACATCCTAATTTACTCAAGAAATGAGGAGGAGCACGAGAAACATTTGGTTCTGGTCCTTGAAACACTACGAGAGAAGCAGATCTATGCCAAATTCTCTAGGTGTGAGTTTTGGATTAAGGAGATCGGCTTTCTCGGGCACGTGGTTTCTGAATCAGGCATTTCTGTGGACAACAAGAAGATTGAGGCCATCACAGAATGGGAAAGACCTAAGAACGTGAAGGAGGTTCATAGTTTCCTTGGACTAGCGGGCTACTATAGAAAGTTCGTGGAGAAATTCTCAGTTTTGGCATCACCATTGACGAAGCTCACTCGAAAAGGAGCAAAGTTCGTGTGGGATGACCGATGTGAGAAAGGATTCTTAGAACTGAAGAAAAGGTTAACTAAGCACCGATACTCGCCTTACCGAAACAAGGTATGGGGTACGATGTCTACAGCGATGCGAGCATCCAAGGGCTTGGATGTGTATTGATGCAGAATGGGAGGGTGATTGCCTACGCTTCACGACAGTTGGAGAAGCATGAGGTGAATTATCCTAGAAATTCAAATTTAATTTCAAAGCTTATGTCTTGAATTCTCCTATTTTTGAACAATTGTAAAATGATTAAAGTTTTACGGAACGTATGATTTATCATATTACTATTTGGACTCATACAATGGTAACGGGCTTCTAAATAATTAATTGGGCCATATCATTGATATTGGGGCCCAACATCCTTAAATAAAGATATACAACCCATCGGTACAATGTAAGAGCGGTCGGGCAGCCCACATGTTATTTTGGGCCTAACCTGCTAAAAATAGTAATTGTTCTAGAATGGCATCCTAGACCCATTGGAGGGTGACCCACACGGTTGGTAGCCCATATATATATATACATATTAACATCATAAACGAATGGTGGAATGATTGGAGAAGAATACAAATGCCTATGGTCCCATCTTTGGCATTATTAGGCTAAATAATGGGAGTAGGGTTTTCTTTTGTAATTGTACATCAAATAAATTATTGGGACCATCCTACACATATTAGAGACCAATAATATGAAGTAGGAGGTTGACTTGATCTGAATAAATTGGGGAGAGTACAAAAGTACATCTTATGACAAAGGACAAAAATGATAGGACCCATCTTTCCACTCTTGGATGTATTGGTAGATATTTTGCTCCCAAATTAATTAGGGGACATGAGAGTACGCCCACACCTTCCTAGCACCTGCAAAACAGGTAGGATAAGTTAGAACACATAAATGGGGCGGACCTATTGAGTTGAGAGCTCAAACAATACAAAAGAGAAATAAAAGAGGAGGACCATCCCATGTTTGATTGGAATCAAACACCCAACCTTTTCTTTTTGGGAGCCACACGTTTGGATAACGTTTTGAGAGCATCCAGATATCTTCCCCTCACCCCTCATTCGACATCAAGAGATAAGGGGAAGAGAAGAGCCGCACAAGAGAAAGAAAGCAAGAGGGGGAGAAGATTCTGGCCGCAAGGAGAACTTCCAGTGCACTGGCCTTCTTGTGCGACTCATATCTCGAGTTCTGCCCATCCAAAAGAGGCGTGTGAGGTTCCCACTTAAACCTCTCGAAAAGAGGAATCCATAGGCGTGTGGTTTGAAGAAAACAGAGCAGTTTAAGTCTTCCAAATCGTCCGAACGAAACGCAACCTCACAGAATACGATTTTGTATTCAAAGTAAGTTTGAATCCAAAACCTTCCTTTCTATTATCTAAATCGTACAAATGATTGAGGAGATATTGTACACTGGTTGAGGTTTATAAATTTTTGTGATAAAGTTATTTTATTTTTTGGAAAGGTTAGATACTAACCTAGAACAAACCTTGAAAGGTTAGGAAACGTTTTCGCCGGAAAACACCCATTCTAGGGGCTGATTTTGTATCATTGGATAAGTGTTGAACTAGCACCTTGAGGAGGCTGTCTAAACATCAATTCTAAGCAAGGAATCAGTTCTCAAACTTCCTTGGCCGAAGCTTTGAGCATTGGATTAAAAAGGAAAGGTTTAAAGCTCATTTGAGGTGAGGATCGACATCTAGTTGCTTACAACTTGTAGGTTAAGCATGAGATTACCTAAATGCCTAAACAATGTTTTTCATGGATTATAATGACTGATTATTGATGAAATATTGATATATTAGATAAGTAATGAAATTGCAAATGATTTGGAAATCATATTGATAAAAATGGAGTTAAATGAACTATTGTGTGAAATAGACATTTTTACTCATGTGTGAATTGTGTAGATACATAAATGATTATTTGTGTATTACATTGGGTGACTAAGTTGCTGCTACATATTTCTAAATATGTAGGGATTTGCAAATGAAACATATGATTGATGGGAATAATCTTAATAGTATTGGAATACTGGTTAATGATTGTTTGTAATTGTTAAGAAATTGAATTTAAGGATTTTTGATTGTAAGTGATATACTTGATTGTGGTTCAAGTGAGTAAATTGTTGTAATGTGATGCTAAGATCATGATAAGGCAGTCCGTAAGGATGTCCCGAAATAGATTATTGATATTACAATTCTAGGCATAGCGAGTGCTTAGGAATTGGGGTCTATGCCAATGCAAGGAGATGTACTTGAGCCCGATGCTCTAGAATTGCATTGGGTAGACATAAGGATTAGGTTCAGCCCATGTAAGGAGATGTACTTGAGCCGAGCTCTAGAATTGCATGGGTGAACATGACGTTGGAGATTGGTGGAGTAATTGACTTGTGATTGATATGCATGGTGATGTAGTCGAGTTGGACTCGAGAAATGCAAACATGTGTGTTAGGGTTGAACCCTATGTATTGTCGTGACTAGGGGTCACGAGGTTTGGGTTATGTTTTGCAAACAAACCTTGGGCCATGGGCCGACTACTTGACTTTATATATAAAGTAAGTATATTTTGAAAAGGGGTAACTTGGGGTTACGGCCTAGATTATACTATCACCCTATTTGAGGGTCTTGTGTTTGAAATACTTGTTGTATATCTATTAGATGTCATCCACACCAGTACTTTATAGTCGTATAGAGTACTGACCCCCTTTCGGGGGGCGTCCCACCACCATTTCAGGTTGAGGCTAGAGCTTACTACCTGTGCTTGTTGATCGGGCGATCATCTCGGAGGGGAAGACTTGGTTCGTGCTTCCTCCATTCTGATTTTAAACATTTTAAAACATGCTCATGG